AAATGCTACTTTCTTGGTAAGGAGTTAAATTGATTAAGGAAAATCGCGTTTTTAGGATTTTATTAACTACAAAACCATTGATATTAAATAATGATGATAATACTTGTCATTATATTCTCTACAAACCAATAAGCTACGATTTATGAGTTTATTGTGGATGGTAATTATATCATTTTAAATTAGGATGGTAAGGTAATTCGAATTTTTATACTTGTTCAAATATTGAAAATTTTGGGTCTCCTTATAGATATGACTTTATTAAAATAAAATAGATATCTTTTATTATAGCAGGATTTTTTTAGACTTAGATCCTCATTCTCATAGACGCCCAATATATAAGGTATTAAATTATTCTTAGTGACAAAAGTATTAATATCAATTAACCACCTTTTTTAGAAGAGAATATTTTGGATTAAGTTAAGGGTAAGTGGCATCAGTTAGAAGAAGGATCATTAGTAGTGGACTAATTGGATATTTGTATAATATTTCTATTACCCAACACCATAACAGAAGAAATGCCTAGATAATTGCTTACCTTTAAGAATGGTTAATATCATTAAAACTAAGTATCATTAATGTTAGTTTGAATGTTCTGAATGCATAGAAAATTATCATACATAATGCAAATATTGGAAACTGCATTAATATTCATTTAATTATATAGATCACATATTCTGATGGATGGGACTTTTTAATCAGCTCCCTCATAAATGATCTATATTGTGGAAATTGCTAATCTTTACAATTTTCTTAAATAAAATTTTTAATTCACTGCCTGCTCATTAAGATGTATTATTTAGGTTTTCAAAAAAGATACAAACCCTATGATAGAAGACTATATATATGGTAGATAAACTGTTAGTGATTAATATTTAATAGAAATATTAATTAGAAATTATCAGATATCTTCAAAATAGAGTTATATAAGGGATGTTGAAGTATTTTATACTTAGCCAAAAATAATTTTTAAGCAATTGAAATGAAGGCTGTTTACAATAAATAGATGATTAATGTCTAATTTTTTAAGAAGGTTGGTTTGTCATCCAATTTGTGGAGATGGAATTATTCAAGGCTAAGAACAATGTGATAATCTAATCAATCTTGTTAAAAATGCAAATATTCATGTATTGAATATTGTTAAATTTGTTAATTTGGAATTTGCTTATAATGTACAGATGGATTTGCAATTAATACCAATTTTAATAGGCACTTTGAAACCATATTCAGTTGAATAATGTGAACTAACTTTTAATGGTGTATAGGATAGTTGTTAAGATTTTAAATTTATTTCAATCCCTAATTGATGGTTCTCAATTCGAACCAAATCATAGCATGTGAAGAGCA